CAGGGAGACTATCACTTATAGATAAAGCTTAAAAAAAACACAAGGCTGCCATGTTCAGAATGCAATACTGGCATACTGAATACTGTGCAGCAGTATGTGTAATAGGATAAATTATGAAGGAAGCATGTCATTATTATCTTTATAAAAACTTCAACAAAATGAGTAAAAAGGAATGAGTAAATTAACACCATAATGTACTCACCCTCAAGCCATCCTCGGTGCATGTGACTGTCAGATGAAAACAGTCGGAGTAGTTTTCAATTTCATCCAGGCTCTTCCATGCTGTATAATGGTGTTGAGTGGAGACTTTTATTTTGAAGGCACTTATTTTGCAACGCGCGTGGCTGTGCATTTGTACTTCTGCGCGCTGTCTCTCTTGGCCTGCATTAACACTTCCGAAACGCTAGTTGGCAGTGAGGTGTAAATGTTTCTCTGTGTCGTTTCTTCGCTGCTTTTTTGCTTTTCCTGAACACTTCCGGGTTGTACAAGTGGCTCAAACTCGCTCATTTTGAGGCAGGAACCAGCGGCCGTGCAACAACTTTAACTATGAGGTAAACACAAAACAAAACTTTCCATCCGGAGCTCCTTCACGGGACTCCACACTTGTAAACAATCGCTCCATTGGTTTCGCGCGGCTCTCGGTCCCGCCCAGACTCGTCAGCACTAGCAAGCCGACCAATCACAGAGCTTGTGCTACGTGTCATTGCGACGTGTAGTTAAATTTTTTGAGAGGTGCACGTCAGCGACGCCAATGGCCACGGCGGAGGGCTATGCGTCAGCGCCGTAGCATACGCCGGCGTTTGACGCAGAAGTATAAATCAGCAACTACAAACAGTTCGACTACAGGGTGGGCCATTTATATGGATACACCTTAATAAAATGGGAATAGTTGGTGTTTTTAGCGTCCTGTTTGTGGCACATTGGTATATGTGAGGGGGCAAACTTTTCAAGATGGGTGGTGACCATGGTGGCCATTTTGAAGTCGGCCATCTTGGATCCAACTTTTGTTTTTTCAATAGGAAGAGGGTCATTTGACATATCAAACTTATTGTTAATTTTACAAGAAAAACAATGGTGTGCTTGATTTTAACATATCTTTACTCTGTCATGAGTTATTTACAAATTTCTGACCACTTGTTCAGTGTGCTGCCCATTGTGTTGGATTGTCGATGTAACCGTCTTCTCCCACAGGCTTCCAGTATCTGTAGTTTCAGGTGCTGCGCATCTTGTATCTACACCAGCACACCATTGTTTTTATTGTGAAATTCTCAATAAGTTTGATGTGTCAAATGACCCTCTTCTTATTGAGAAAACAAAAGTTGAATCCAAGATGCCCGACTTGAACGGTTTGTGAGCACAATTAAGTGCACACAGCATGCTATATCATCTGATAATTGTAGGAAATAATCCCAAAAGGCAATTGACTGTGTAAAGAAACATCAACCAAAACAAAAATACGATGAATATGTCGAGCTGAGCGGCTAATCAGCTGGATTCAGCTGAGGTGACGAAACGGCGAGCAGCAAGACCTAGCTGTCACTCAATGACCACGCCCTTAATTATGCAAGCTTAATATAACTTAATAAAAACAAAAAAAGATGAGTTATAAAAAAATAAAAAATAAATCAACCCCCCTCACAGTTGTCCTGAAGGTTAATCATGGCTATATACCATCTTTTGTACCAGGCTGTAAGCATGTTATCAGCTGTAAAAATGGCCAATTTCCCATTACAATCAGAAATGACCTGGACTTCCAAGGCGAGTCAATGAATGGCAGTTTTAGTTACTACCGTATTGGCTTACCGAAAGAAAGAGGGAGGTTGTCGCTTGGGGTAAACGCATGTCTTTTGAAGCAAGTCAATGTTACGATGTGTTATCGTAAGAAAAAAATATTTCCAATTTTTAACGCTTGCTTACATTACTGACTTCTCTCGGCAACACACCTTATGCACAAAATTGACATAAACAACATATAATGCATGACACATCACAAAAAAAAAGTGCTTTTGGAGCTTCGTATGATTATAGTTGAACCACTGGTCAAATGAAATGTTTTGATTATGTTTTTAGTTCCATTTCTGGACTTTAAAAATTATTAAGTCGGAGAGCTCCAGGATTTCATCTAAAATACCTTCATCTGTCATCTGAAGATGAATCTAAGGGGACTGAAATGACATGAAGGTCAATAAATAAGAACATAATTTTCATTGTTGAGTGAACTATCCCTTTAACAAGTAAATAGAGGGAAATGTTTTGTCAAACTGAAGTGTTCTTCAGGAAAAAAAAAACTACTATGCAGATGTTTTGAAAACCCCCTTTTAGACCTCTAATTTTCAAGTGCGTACAACATACTTCAGCAATTGTAGATCAAAATAAGGGGATTTAAACAGAAAATATGCACACTGGAAGCACTACATGTTTCTTCAACAGTCTTCTAATTTAAAGCAGCTGTTTTAGTCTTGGCACGTCACTGATTTACTGTTAAATTTGAGATGATGTTTGACATGTGAAGCATCAAAGGATATAATTTATTTATGAAATTCACATTATAACAGCATCGAGGACAAGTTTAGACAAGATGGTTTTACATACTACTAGATAAAGGTAAAAGTTCTGCTAAACAAACTTGCATTGATGGCTTGTCAAAAATACATTTAAACAGTTTATTTTTTAAACTCGAAGATATTTTGTGTATCGGACTACTGGAAGCAGAAGTAACAATGGTTTCATAACAGAGACATGCGGACTGTCAACAGTGATATAATCAATAGCGCTGTCTGCATCTGTTGGGTCACATCCGTCTATTTTGTTGATGGATGCAATCAGTTTGGCGGTTGGACTGTTTCTATTTTCGACTGACTGCAAAACTACTTAAGATAGCTTCTCTGATAGAAAATAGATTAATAAGACATCTTGACTACGAAGACAATAAATCGCACACCTGTGCATATGCATTGAGTTTATGCACTTACTCTATTAGGTACACCTTACTAGTACCGGGTTGAACCCCCCTTTTGCTGCCTTAATCCTTCATGGCACAGATTCAACAAGGTACTGGAAATATTCCTCAGAGATTTTGCTCCATATTGACATGATAGTACCACCATGCAGTTGCTGCAGATTTGTTGGCTGCACATCCATGCATGTGAATCACCCGTTTCAGCACATCCCAAAGGTGCTCTATTGGATTGAGATCTGGTAACTGTGGAGGCCATCTGAGTACAGTGAACTCATTGTGATGTTTAAGAAACCAGTCTGAGATGATTCATGCTTTATGACATGGTGTGTTATCTTGCTGGAAGTAGCCTTCAGAAGATGGGCGCACTGTGATTATAAAGCCATGGACATGGTCAGCAACAATACTCAGGTAGGTTTTAATGTTGACACGTTGCTCAATTGGTACTAATGAGCCCAAAGTGTGCCAAGTGTTGTAAACTTCTAAGACCCCCCCCCCCCCCCCCCCCCAAAAACCAGGAAGAATCTTTTGGTTGTCTTCAAAGCAGAATCCTTTTTAATAAGAAGAACTCAGCGTGGCTGTAGCGTCATCGAAAGCAAACTCTAAACTGCACAGCAAACATTATACATTTATACATGTAGGTGGGGACAGTCAAACAAAGCATGCAAATGAAGTCTGGTTGTCTGCAGGGGTGCCATGCCTGCTCCAGGTCTGATCTCATCAGTATATAAGTACTACAGTATGCAAATGATGTTCTGGAAACAGAGAAGACAATAAATACAGACATGCTCTGAAACCGATAATTGCATCACTGTGGCTTAGCCTGTAGTCAGCAAGGCAAAGGTTAAAGGTCCCTCCTAGCTGGCATCTCAGTGAAATGATATAATTAAAAACCAAAGAATATAACTTTTCAGTTATTCGTAGATTATTGTTCATTTGGAATTAGATGATAGAAATTTATATTTCCACACAAGAAAATATCCCCCACACCATTACACCACCATCACCAGCCTGAACCATTGATACAAGGCAGGATAGATCCATGCTTTCATGTTGTTGATGCCAAATTCTGATCATACCATCCGCATGTGGCAACAGAAATTGAGACTCATCAGACCAGGCAACATTTTTCCAATCTTCTATTGTCCTATTTTGGTGAGACTGTGAATCGCAGCCTCAGTTTCCTGTTCTTAGCTGACAGGAGTGGCACCTGGTGTGGTCTTCTGTTGCTGTAGCCCATCTGCCTCAAGGTTGGACGTGTTGTGCGTTTAGAGATGCTCTTCTGCATACCTCAGCACATCAGTCTGGCCATTCTCCTCTGAGCTCTGGCATCAACAAGGAATTTGCACCCACAGAACTGCCGCTCACTGGATATTTCCTCTTTTTCTGACCATTCTCTGTAAACCCGAGATGGTTGTGTGTGAAAATCACAGTAGATCAGCAGTATAAAGCATTCGTGTGGTGTTTTGAGCTGAAAGTTAACATACAGTACTCTAGGGACATCAGGGACTTATTTTACATTATGTAAAAAAGACATAATAGGTCCCCTTTAATAATCAGACCCCACAAAACCTTTCTGCAAAACTTAGACTGTAACAACAGGTTTTCAGAAATGATTTGCAAACTTTCTGCCTTTATATTCACCCTCTTTTACTTGTTTGTAATGACAATCTACATATTTAATTATTTCATAAAGCAACAGTAAATTTTATAATATATATATTCTTGTTTTTATACACGTATTGGAGTCGAAACATAGTTAAACATATTATTTTAAGTTAGCGCACAAAATTGCTGTGCTATTTATTATTTGCAGCTATGCATGTGGATATTTAAAGGATAACAGGATCACATATTTTAATAAAGCGTTAAAATTGGGAGTCCTGATGGGAATCCTGCGCCGTTTAAAGACAATTAGAATTGAACAGCTCTATGTGACCTTCTGAAAACATGCAGGTAAACATTTCAACTGAAAAAAAACACCACCACCACCCCTGCGTTATTAAAAATTTGCACACGCTGAGCCTCATGAAAACAAAACTTGTTTGGGTTTCCATGCATCCTTTATTCCTTTATAAGCAGTACAATATCCACTGTGTTGCGACAAAGCAACAACCAACAGAAAGAACAATAATCTGTCTCTCGGCACATTTAAGGCTTTAAAGATATCTAAAATAAAAAAACTACACGCATGTGTCTGTACCAACTATCGTTTTCTCTGCATTATATTTGCATACTGTGATTCCAGTGTCAATAATAAAAAAACAAAACAAAAATCAAAGCTAAATACCATTTACTTCATATTTTACATACCTATATATTTATAGAGAAAGAGCGAGAGAGGGGGGTGAGGGGGTGTACAGTACGGTTATCTTACAAACCAGCATTAAAAGAGGTGTAAATATTAATAATCACTGAAAAAACATTGTAAAAACGTCAGTATCAAAAGCAATGATGGGCTCAGATGTTATCGGTGTCTGCCATTCCTTACAAAAACAAAAACAAATCTCCACTGGAGATCAACAGCAAACATGAACCGTCATCGCGTAACCTTACAGCAAAACAATCAAGTCAACCAACAACAACTGCTATGCGTTAAAAACATACAATCAAAACAACGCACCATTTTGGTAGCAATCGACATCCTTCATCCAATCGTTCCAAGTCCTTCATTCGCCGAATGAGGAAAACATCGACGTTTAATCAATGACTTTAACGTTTTCCTGGGTAATGTGATTCTGGAAAAGGGGGAGAAACTTCAAAACATACCATATTTAAATCAGTTTTTCACAGTGATTTTCCCCAATCGAGTAGCAGCGTGCAGGAGCCCAGAGAAAATCGTCGAAATCCCATTTCCAGAAATAATAGTAACACAAATAAAATTCACTGACAGGAATGTCGGAGCGAAACGTCAGAGAACATAAGGCTTTTTTAGTAACACCGATGCAAAAAACCAACAAAGAGAGCTCGAAATTTCACATTATTTTTTTTGTTTCTCTTTATACAACGCACAAATGTAGTGTTTACGCCGAAACAATGCCCTGATTGCTGTGTTGCGACAAAGCACCATGTTGTTTCAACACAATACGCCAACGCTTTCCCACCGTATTCGAAAAGCACGGACAATTATTCACAGGTCAACTTACTTTCCACAGGTCTTCCAGTTTTAATTAGCCCAAGCTACACTTAAACTCACGCACTCTCACACACATACACACAAACTGGCCACATATATATATCAAAAAAAAAAAATAATAATAATGTCAGTCACTGATTCATCATGATCTAATCTACTGGAAACATAAGAAAACGGAATGCATAATTCCCTACAAATCAAACAAACAAACAAACAAAATAACAACCTGAAAATGTTGCACGATAAAAGTGCAATCGGTTACTTAAACCCTTTGAGGAGCATTTATAAAGAAAGGAAATGTTAAACGCAACGTACTGGATGCGGTGCAAAAATGTCAAACGTTCGTCAAGTATAAAAGAATAGAAAGTGGTTGGAAATCATTTGAAATGTGTCGTCTTCCCCCTCGGTAGGAATGAAAAAAAGGCCCTGCTCCTACATATCAAGAGAGAGCTTCTTTTTTAACTCCTTCAGCAAGTGCAAGTACTGATGGCGTCCTCGGCTCTGGGTAAAGGGACACGTGTGTTTGTGTGTGTGTGTGTTTTCAGGAGGTAGCCAGCTCAAACGTGATGAACTGTTTGAGTCTCTCGAGGTATTGGGCGTAGAGCTCGATGTCGTTGTGCCCAGCGCCTTCTACCCACAGGGGCTCCACGGCACGTGGGCATCGCTCGTAAATGGCCAAACCGTGCGAGAAGTCGATCACTTCATCTTCTGTGCCGTGGATGACCAGGACCGGAGACGCCACCTTGGATACTTTGTCGATGCTGAAACACATTGAATCACACACAAGAGTTGCATTAGAATACAGTTGAAGTCAAAATTATTAGTGATTTTATTTCTCGTTTTCTAAAAGATTTACCAAATGATGTTTAACGAGCAAGGAATCAATCACAGTAATTCCCATAATATTTTATTTTATATTTGTAGAAAGTCTTTTTCATTATTTTCTTTTTCATTTCAGCTAGAATAAAAGCAGTTTGATTTTTTTTTAACCATTTTAAGTTCAATATTATTAGCCTTCCCTTATTAGTAGGGATGTAACAATTCACCTGACTCACGATTCGATACGATTCACAATGCTAATCCCACAATACGATTTACTCATGATTGACCCTATCAGTTCCCGAGTGGGAGATCACATAGGAAAGCTAGGTTGCTGCCGGAAATGGGGTTAGTAAGGGTGCCCAACCTGCGGTCTGTGTGGGTCCTAATGCCCTGGAAAAGTAACAGCGACTCTTTACTGCTCAGTGAGCACCGTCTTTCGGATGAAACGTTAAACCGAGGCCCTGACCTCTCTTTGGTCGTTAAAAATCCCAGGATGTCCTTCGAAAAAGAGTAGGGGTTTCACCGCGGCATACTGGCCAAATTAGCCCACTGGCCTCTGTCCATCATGGCATCCTAACCCTCCCCATATCATAATTGGCTTCATCACTCTGTCTCCTCTCCACCAATCAGCTGGTGTGTGGTGTGCGGTCTGGCACAAAATGGCTGCAGTAGCGTCATCCAGGTGGTGGATGAGCAGATTCTCCCCCCTTGTGTAAAGCGCTTTGAGTGCCCAGAAAAGCACTATATAAATGTAAGGAATTCTTCTTTTTAGCTGTGCCTTTACGGAATGAGCACTGTGCTGCGTCCGACAGATTGCACTATCATGTTTTTCTCTTCTTCTTCATTCTTTTATATCACATTTTACCTGTTTTTATGTTTTGTTTTGACGCATTTTTATTAATATTATTATTATTTTTTTACTTGTTTCTTTTATTCTTGTTTATGTAAAGCACTTTGAATTGCCACTGTGTATGAAATGTGCTATATAAATAAACTTGCCTTGCCTTGCCTTCTTATTATTATAGATAATGGAGGTCATGGTCTTTAGCCTCCTTGTTAGATGCAACCGACTCCCATGCAAAAAATTGCCTGTTCGATCCCAGCTCTGGCCGAGTTGGGTATAGCAGGACCGGTGGTTTACATGTAGGGGCTCGTACAGGATGAGAGTGAGGTTTAGGGGGGGTGAGTGTAAGAGAAGCCAGCTAGTGAAGTACTATGCAGGTAAACCTCACACCTCTGATCTTAAAAGGTGCTCTAGTGACAGATACTAGAGGCCATGGTCTTTAGCCTCCTTGTTATGGTCGACCGCCATGAAAAAAATAAATTAATAAATCACCAGTTCCATCCCTGCTCAGACCAGGTAGGGTACAGTAGGGCTGGAGGGTTACATCTTGTGTAACACTTCAGCCTCTGGCAACTAACAGCCTCCCCCAGGTCCTAATGTCTGTCAGGCAATACAACTGATTTATATTAAACTATTAAAAAAAACACTTAGTTTTGCTAGATATTTTGCTCAAATATTCAAAATAACTGGCATGCTGACTGACACCAATAATACAGAGCCTAATTCACTATCTGCTCTATTAATCTTTTTTTCTTCATAATATTTCTCTCAAGCAGGCTCCTGCTGGGTGCTAATGAACTGTGAAAAAGGTAGAGTCATTTCCGACACCCATTTTTGTTGATTTCATAATAAAATCTACCTATTTAAGTAACTATATCATGAAATGTTTTGTTCATACCGTCTACCTCTACATTAAGAGTAATGTTAAATAAATCAATGCATCTGGCTGTTATTGAGGTGTCAAGCTTGGAATTTTTAGTTTTTTCATTGCAACTCAACATCTACAGTAATCCACTTTAAAGCTTTTTCTTATTCAAGCAGCGTCAAAGCCTTGTGGAATCCAGTCATAAAAATGGAATTTGCCGTACAGTACAATGCACTGTGCTGAACGTCATTAAGTTTGGATTGAAGAATCAAAAGCAGTGTTGTACGTCTAATGTTGTCAAAAAGATTAATGTCTGTGAATATTAAAAAGCAAAAGACTATGAAATTTGCAAGATGTGTTTGCATGTTGTGCGGGTTTGTTTACAATATTTAAATAGTTGTGGCCTTTTTAACATCTCAGTATACGAAGACAAGAAAACACAGACTTTATATCTACATTTACATTTAGCCGACGCTTTTATCCAAAGCGACTTACAAATGAGGACAAAGAAGCAATTTACACAACTATAAGAGCAACAATGAATAAGTGCTGTAGGCAAGTTTCTGGTGTGTAAAGTCTAAGAGTTGTATAATAGTAAGGAAAGTGGAGACTAAATAGTTTCTAAATAGTTTTTAGTCGTTTTTTGAAACGATGCATTTAGGGAGTTCATTCCACCAACTGGGCAGATTGAGCGCGAGCGTTCGGGAAAGCGTTTTCTTTCCCCTTTGGGATGGAACCCCCGAGGCGACATTCATTCACAGAACGCAAGTTTCTGGAGGGCCTATAAATCTGCAGAAGTGAGAGCAGATAAGAAAGGGGCGCTGCCAGAAATCGCTTTGTAAGCAAACATCAGAGCTTTAAATTTGATCCGAGCAACAAATGGCAGCCAGTGCAAACGGATGAGCAGCGGAGTGAAATGTGCTCTTTTAGGTCGATTAAAGACCACTCGTGCTGCTGCATTCTGGAGCAGCTGAAGAGACTTGATAGAGTTAGCTGGAAGCCCGGCTAGGGCTTGAGATAATTGAAGAATTTGATAGATTCCAGAGATGACAATACTTGTTGATAAAATAGTCATTTCAGGAATTGACAGACTTCATCCCATTACTGTAGTAAAACAAAACACTTTTCCAATAAATAAATAATATTAAATAAATAATAAAATTATTATTAATACATATTAAACGTTTAATGATTTTAACTACTTGGACAAAGACAGACAAGACTCAAGTTTAAGCACCGATTCTCAATATTAACTAGTGAGTTATTACCTGCCAATTATTAAGATATTGGCTGTTTATTAGTACTTATATATATTCTGCATGATCTTATTCTATAGTCCTAAACCTACCCAATACCTCAACTCAACCCTTAACTTAAGTATTTCAAGGCAGCACATTAGGAGTTTGAGGCAAAAGTCATAGTTAATAATAGTTTATTGATAGCATTGATACATTTAGAGAAAAATATTTTTTAAAAAAATTAATATAACAATCTCTCTTGATTTTTAAATCATTAGCTAACATGCTAAAAAACACTTAAAAAATCTATAGCCCCTTTCACACAGTGATACCGGTAAATATATGAAAAATTTCCGGAACGACTTTACCGGTAAATTTAAAAGAGCACTGTTCACACAGGCGAAGATGTTACGGAATTTTTCCGGAAAAGAGCATTCACATCCATTTCAAAATACCGGTAAATTCTGACATCATTAACCAGAAATGACCTCTAAACGGCTGGGCCTGTATTTGTAAACATTTGACTACATCACAAACTCTGTGGATGGATCAGTATTGTGAACAACTTCGATGAAAACATATAGAGAAAAAATAATAAAATATATTATCTAGAAAAAAATAAATAAATCAATAGTGGTTTACATTGAGATATCTTACTCAGCATACTGCCAACGGTCCTCTAATTGCAGTAAACCCACAATGTATGCTGATCACTGGTAAATATGGACAGCCACCTCAGCACAGGACTGCTAACTAACTGGCGATCCTGACAGGATGCTCCAGAGGACAATCAAACAGGCATGCTAATTAATTTATCATTCAGCACGCTTAATTGTTGCTTATTTTCCTCATTGGTGCACAGGCAATCTCATTTAGGTAAGCGAGGAGATTAACACATGACACAGGCTGATGGAGTAATTACAGCGGCTATGAAGAATAACGCCTTATCCAAACACCAAACCAAATATGCACGCAGCGTTCATTTCAACCCAACACATTCTAATGGATGACGGACAAATTGTAAATACTGGACTTGTAATCATGCAGGGTGTGTGTTTGGCTAAACTGATAGCAGTAACGCTCATTAACAAGACAGTTTTGAGGTCTTAAGTTTATAACAGTTGGATATGCAAAAACTCTCTTCAGTTAAACAAAGAGAAAACTGAAGTCATTGCATTTGGGAACAGAGATGAGGTACTTAGGATAAATGTGTCCCTTGGCTTTAAGGGTCAAACAACAAAAATAAGGTCAAGAATCTTGATGTGATTCAGGAGTCAGATAAGAGTTTCAGTAATCATGTTAAAGCTGTAACTAAATCAGCATACGATCATCTCAAAACTTTAGATCAGGGGTGGCCAACCCTGTTCCTGGACAGCCACCTTACTGCAGATTTTAGTTGCTACTGATATCAAACACACCTGAACCAATTAATTAGGACCTGAACACCACGTGATAATGACAGGTAGGGCTGTGTATTGGCAAGGGCCTCACGATATGATACATATCACAATACATGGGTCACGATACAATATATCACGATATATTGCGATACAATAAATATTGTGATATATTGCAATTAAAGGTGTCACGATTTCGATTTTAAATCAAAATCGATCGAAATTTATGCTCAATTTCGATTATCGAATAAAAAAATAGAATCGTCGATGCTGCCACGCCCCCATGTCACGTCAGCTTGGCTTGCCAAGCGGAAAAAAACAGGCTTGTTGAAGTGCTTGTTAAACTGCAGACGCAGGAGACCAGTCGAGCAAATCACACGTCGTCAGGTCTTTACACTGGCTCCCAGTTACATTCAGAATAGATTTTAAAGTATTATTACTTGTCTATATAAATCACTAAACGGCGTAGGACCTCAAAAACATCATAGATGTGCTGATTGAATACAAACCCAACAGATTACTCAGATCATTAGGATCAAGTAAATTAGAAATTCCAAGAGTTCAGTAAATCCACCTTCAGCTACTATTGAATTAC